CCGTGACAAAGAATAATGAGACGGTTGATTCTGTCTCTCAGGGTTCGTTAAGGCTCATTGGATGGAGGATTGGTATTTTGGCTACCAGTGTCTGAACGGCAGCAACCCTCTCATGCTGCGTGAGACCCGCCACCTCCCTCCAAACCTGTCTGTCACCTCTGACATGCTCCGCCCCTTCCTGCCTGAAGGCTCCTCCCTCGAAAAAGAGCTACAGGTGTGTGCTGTTGTGACTTTCAGCTGTGCGTTATTTGCAGCTGCCCTTTTTAATCAGTGTGTTTGTTCGCTGTGACAGAAAGGCAACATTTACCTGTTGGACTACGAGGTTCTAGACGGTGTTCCAGCCAACGTGATCAATGAAAAGCAGACGTATCTGTCCGCCCCGCTGTGCCTTCTCCACCTGAACCAGCAGGGGCAGCTGCTCCCCATCGCCATCCAGGTTTGCTTGTTATGTAGAAACCTGACTGTGACGATTGTCTTCAGTTGGAATCCTGTTGTCTAAGTTCAGCCCATTCACCCTGGGAATGTGGTCCCGTCCTTCAGCTGCAGCAGAAACCTGGCCCTCAGAACCCGGTCTTCCTGCCCTCTGACTCTGGCTACGATTGGCTGTTGGCTAAGATGTGGGTTCACAGTGCAGACTTCCAGTGCCACCAGCTGATCTCACATTACCTGCGGACTCACATGATGGCAGAGCTGTGCTGCGTGGCCACGCTGCGGCAGCTCCCAGATGCACACCCACTGCACCAGGTAAACCCCGCTCACCTGCAGCTCGCTCGACTTCACCCACAGGAGACCAGAGAACAGAATTGTTGTATCCAATCATTTCTGCTTTTAAATGGCTTGAGCTGTCTTTTCTCTCATTTCTTTTATGGACAGCTGCTACTGCCGCACGTCAAGACATCTTTAAAGATAAACTTCGGGGCCAGAGCGTCGCTGCTGGCCTCCAAAGGACTGTTTGATCAGGTAAAATGCAGGAAGTAACAGGAACCACAAAGAGGAGAACAAACAAGCAAAGTAAGATCTGTTGTGTTCCCTGGTCTCGTCCTTCCAGGCTGTCGGTTCTGGTCTGGCGACATTACCCCTTCTCCTCTCCAGGGGATCGGCCAGGATTTCCTATCGAACCCTGTGCGTCCCCGAAGACTTGAGCGACCGCGGTTTGGACAAACTGCCGCAGAGCTTCTACGCTCAGGACGCTCTGAGGATCTGGGACACAGTGCACAGGTAAACGAGCACACCTGAGAAACCCGAACACTCGTGCAAATGTTTTATCCGATGGCAACAGGAGATCCTCTGTGATCTGTGTGTGTTGCAGGTTTGTAACCAGCTGGGTGGAACTGTATTACCATGGAGACGACGCGGTGCAGCGTGACCCCGAGCTCCATGGTTGGCTCACAGACATCAACGCTCACGGCTTCAGTAATGGTGCGTTTTAGCAGTTTCTCCAAATCACTTTGCACCGTTTCAAACGATTCTGTCAGCAAACTGTGTTTATACGTTAAGTTAGTTCACGATAATATAATAATGATAATGACTGCTAGTTGTTCTTAGAGAGAGCTGTGTCTCCTTTCATGCTGCAGTGGAACTGCAAGCGTAAAGTGGAGATGGCTGTAGGTATAGAGGTGTAGGTGGGGGGTGGAGCTCCTGATGGAGAGCTGCACGCACTGGCAGAGCTTCAGTCGGTGGATGTAAGAGTAACAGGTGAGCTCACAGCAGAGACGAGCAGAGGGACCCGACATCAAACTGTGTCGACCTTTGGATCTGTGCGGAGGAGGATCTGAAAAGTTGCACCAATATAAAATGATACTGAGCAGATGTGTGTTTGACACTGTATGGTATTAAATATTGATAGTTTGATGTAATGATATAATATTAAAAGCAAAACTTTTGGATTTTAGTGGTTAAATAATTAGAGATAAATATGTATGTTATTATATAAAGCTGACCACAGGATAGTTTTCCATGTTCGTGTGTTTTGATGTTCATTAACATTTGTTATTTATGTGCTTGGAACACTGAGCAGCTCTTTTTGACTCCGCCCTCGCCCACAGCACACACATGTGCACGCATGCATTCACCTGAACATTGTGACTATGATGCCTCTGCACAGGTTTCCCTCAGCGCTTTCACACCAGAGCAGAAGTGGCCAAGTTTGTCACTGCGCTCATCTACTCCTGCTCTGCTCTGCACGCTGCCGTCAACTTCTCCCAGGTGAGTCGGCCACTGCGAGAGATGGGAAAAGCTCGCGGCTTCCTGCTGAGGATGTCCCGCCGCCTCACGTTTGTCTCCTCTCTCTTGCTGTCCTCCAGCTGGACTTTGCCTTCTGGGTGCCAAACTGTCCGGTCGCCATGTTGCGCCCTCCTCCGCAGGTCAAAGGCGCCGTCACAGAAGATGACATCATGTCCTTCCTGCCAGATGTGAACACGACGTGCCGCGTCCTGATGGCGCTGAATGGGCTGTCGCAGCCAGCCATCGACTTTGTGAGGCTCCGCCCACTCCTCATAAAACATTTACACTCACTTCTTCCTCAACTCCTCCTCTTCAAAATCTTTGTCATCTTCTTCTTTTTCATCATTTACATTTTTTCTTCTTGATAAGCTTTTTCTTTTGTCTTCCTCCTCCTCCTCGGACACCACAGCCAATCACTGCCTCCATCTCCTCCTATCCCACCATCCTCCTGTCACTCCGACCCTCTGCACCTCCTCTGAGGTTCTCTTTCTGATCATTTTAATTTCAAATCATTGTAATGCGTCTCGTTATTTGTCACATTTTTGAAGATTAAATCTGTGTGTCTACCCTGCAGGTTCCTCTCTGTCACTACAAGGAGGCTATTTTCAGGGAGGACGCTCACCGCAGGCTGTTGGAGGAGGTGCAGGCACAGCTCCGGGACATCTCTGACGCCATCGCAGAGCGTAACAGCCAGCTGGAGCTGCCGTATCCGTACCTGAGCCCCGAGCGCATCGAGAACAGCGTGGCCATTTAGTAACTGTCATCGTCCTCACCTGCGATCATCATTTCCAACAGGAAAAAAACCTCTCCATGCACCTAATTATCGATAATCGTTCCTGTTTTTTAAATCTGATCATGTGACGGACTAATCGTTTCTGCTGGGATACTTCTCTTCAAACCGCAACATTTTTCACGTACTAACTTTTTTTTTCTTCGAGGTGACTGTAACGCGCCTTAAACTCAGATGTTCTCCGACTCTGGTGAAGGACTCACGATGAAATTAATGTCTTGCTTTGTGAGCTCACCAAATTACTTTGTTTGGCGTCAATGAAGTGACTTGGTGTGAGCTCACACTGTGTTACATGAGTACACGAGTTTAAATATTAGAGTAAGTCTCTATTATTCTAATGTCTAAGGAGCTTGGAAAGAAATCATCTTGACCTTAAGAAGACGTTTCACCTCTCATCCGAGAAGCTTCTTCAGTTCTAAGGTCAAATGGTGGAGAGTCCCAGATATAAACCTAGTGGGAGTTTCCCCCCACAGAGGGACAAAAGGACCCCTGATGATCCTCTAATCACCTGAGCCAAGGTGTGAAACTGGGTGTGGGTCCCAATCAGCCAGAGTTTCGGGTGTGTTCATTGTGAAACCTGGCCCCACCTTATCATGCGAATTCCTGAGGTCAGATGGCCCAGGATGTGAGTGGGCGTTAAGGCGTCTGGGAAGGATCTCAAAACTGGATTATAGATGGCAGAGAGTTGGTGTCGTAAACCCCGCCTCTGTTCAAAGATGGTCGCTCAGAGTGGACATAGATGCTTCTTTCACTCCTCTTTCAAACCATCTGTCTTCTCTGTCCACAATGTTAACATTGGTGTCCTCAAAGAGTGACCTTTGACCTTTAGATGCAGATGGACAACCAATCACTGCAGATGGCCCCGCCCCTCCCTGAGCCTGGTTCTGCTGGAGGTTTCTTCCTGTTAAAAGGGAGTTTTTCCTTCCCACTGTCGGCCAAAGTGCTTGTTCATAGGGGGTCATATGATTGTTGGGTTTTTATCTCTATGCATTACTGTACGATCTACTGTGCAATATAAAGCTCCTTGAGGCGACTGTTGTTGTGATTTGGCGCTGTGTAAATAAAATTGAATTGAATGGGCCTTGAGTCTTGTCTCGTGGAGGTGGCTCTTCCATGTTGTGCCATTTGTTTATGAAGTCTCTCCAATGTAAAGGTCGGAGCATTCCTTGGTGCTCTCTGCTGCATGCACTACGTTGTTAAGTTTGTGTTTAGGACAATCTTGTCGGAGGAAACATCCAGACGCTTTTCTTTCCAAGCTCCTGAGACTACGATGACCTTCACAGGCATCTTTGTCAGCTGGAAATGAAGCTAGTCAGAAACAGAGGAGGCGCTGTCAGCTGTACTCCTTCTCATGCGCGTGGCTGAATATTCGACCAATAACGTCAGGCTTTGTGCATTGACTGCCTCGGTGCCTGTTTTTGTCACAGTTAGATTTGTGGATACTCTGAGTTTATTTATCCTTCAAGTACCAACAGAAACTCAAAGAAAGCTTTGAGTAAAAGTCCTGCTCTCAGAATTATGTCCAGAACTACGAGCATAAGAAAGAACTGAAGGTAACAATCTTTATGTAAAATGAGCCCTTTCAGGATTTTACATGCAGCCTGTTTTATTCTCAGGGGGTTTATATGATGAAAGCCAATCCAAAATAGAAGCTAATAACACATCATATACATTAGGGCTGCCACAAATGATTATTTTGATAGTCGACTAGTCAGATCATCATCCATACAGCTTATTGCACCAGCAGCATCTGCTCTTATATAACTATCATTAGCTTACAGCTTTAAGTGTTTAAGGTCTGTGCTAACTAAAAATAAAGACAAGATGATAGTTTATTAATAAATGTTAATGACATTTGCAGATGGTTTCGGTGAAGTTTAATAAACTCCTTGCTATCTAAAATATAACAGGACACCGGGGTAAATTCTGAGCATCTCACACTTCTGATAATCAGCTGTCTGCTTGACAGTTTTAGCTGTGTAAAAACTATAACTTTAATCTCAGCCAAACCGATTTACTCAGGAACAAATAAAATACTAAAAAAAA